ATTATATATTAATTATATATAATTACACCAGACATGGAGGTAATTTGGGTGAAATTTTGGATAAATCTAGGACCACTTTCAATAAAACAGCAAAATATACTGTAATATTGATCTTTGTGGGACAGTGCTCCTAAAATGTTTCATTAGTTTTGATTTAAAAAAAAACTTAAAACATGCTGTTAAATGAGATTTAACAGCAGCTAAATGAGATTTAACAGCAGCTAGAGATCTTAGTCATTTCTTTGTGTTGTAGCATTTTAGGAAAGATGCTGAGCAGTCAAGATAAGGAAAGCTGTACTATTCTAGTTCCCTACAAATAAACAGAAAGTTGCAAATTGTGTTTTAAAGGTTCTTTAGTCTGTCCAAACACTAGCGTTAAACTTTTGTTGTGTATATATGCAGTCAAGTAAACCAGCTGAAGTCAGCAGCCAAGTTCCAATACAGACTGCACAGCACTGATCAATGATCCCAGTAGCTGATGTCAGTAGATGGGCGGAGCTGCATAAACACGCATCAAAGCTACACAAGCTGCAAGCCTGGACAGAATTCAATTATGTGTGAGCACAGAGGGTTCTTGCTGAGTTAAGGCCAAACACACAGTCTTTCACTGCGGACAAGGAAGTATTCAGCAGAGCAGGTATTCCAATCTCTGCCAGCATCAGCCAAACATGTGCACAAACACACACACACATTCACACAGACAGGTTTTGTAAAATCAGAAAAGCTGATGCAACCATATTCCCTGCATCCAGGTTTAGAGGCTGAGTGACATCACTGCGACGCAAAAAGAAAGACTCCRATTCATTCTGTCAGCCTGTTTCTGWTTGGCTGAGGCATTAAAGGGGAGGGTGGGAGGAAGACTGCAATGTTAGCACAGTGGTTGGAGAGAAATGACATAGAGGGATGAAATGAGGTGGGGGTGGGGGGTGACATCTGTGGATGAGGGAGCTCTCCAGCTCCTCTATAACTTATGAGTCTATGAGAATAAAAACACAAACAGTAAGGAAKAGGACTGGAGCATCGCAGCTGAGAGCAGCTCAAAGAAAAAAGGRACAGTGCTGAGGAAACAAAAAGGTGTCGATACGAGGAGCATAAAAATCTAAACAGTAATCTGCAATAAGCACCARGCTGCATAATCAAGTCCTTCAGTTCTGCAGAAGCAGCCTAAAGATAAAGCTGGTCTCCTCACCTCCATGATGGGGTTAGAAGCCAAAACTTTCTCCTCTACGTTGGCCTCACTGGCAGAGCCACTGACTGTAGCAAAATATCTCATTGCATATTTGGCTGATACCGTCTTTCCTGCTCCGGACTCCCCGCTCACAATAATCGACTGGTTTCTCTCATCCCTGGAAGATGAAACAAAACACAAACCAATATCGTTTTAGCTCAATAACAAATGTCTCAGCTCAACTAATGTTATGTTTATTTTTGGTAAAACTAAGGTTGAATGAATTTCATAATAGCTCAGTTTTCTCTTYTAAATAAAATGTGGRGACTGTGGCTGAGTGGTTAGRMGGGGTCATCCTGTAACTGGTGGGTTGCCCGTTTGATCCCCTATTCCATCCATCTCAGTTGRTGTGTCCTCGGGCAAGACACTTCACCCACCTTGGCTGCTGCTCTGTCAGTCTGCCCCAGGGCAGCTGTGGCTACAGTGTGGCTTACCACCAGTGTGTGAATGAATGGGTGAATGACGGAAGTGCTTTGGAGTCTGTAAAGTGCTGCAAAGGTTCAAGCCATTTACCATTTACCKAACAACAGAAACAAACTGTCAGGTAACAGCAGGAGTGACAAACTGCAGAGTGGCTGCCAGCAGTATTTTAATATCACGGTTCAAGTATTCATAAAAGAAAAACAATTAAATAAAAAACTAACATGACCATAAACGTTTATAAGTAGGTTGCATGTCAACATGCAACTTACCACTTTAGTATTTATTTAAACTCAACAGGTTTAAAGAAAATAWAGTCCAACAAAACAAAACCTGGTCCATGCGTTAATTGAACATAAATACTTCAGATTTGCAGCCATCTTGCAATCTCAAGCTGTTTTGGGTAAAACTCTTATACTTGCATAGTGAAAACTTAAGCAGCCTAAAAATTACCAGACTTAATGTAGGAAATAATGTAAAAAATATTTTTTTCAAATATAAGTGGAAAAATGTAGGATTTGTGGTTAAACTTGGTCTTAAAGACCAGTTTAATTTGAAGGTTTACTTTGTTTTTATTTTCATAAAACATGTATATAAAACATGTTATATTTTTTCCCATTAAGATCAGAAACAAGTTTGGTAATTTACACAAAATATGTATTAATGTTGGTGATCATTTTCAGATTAAAAGAGGGGTTTCCAATCTAAGCTGTGGTACATTTTACTGCCTCCTGCTCGCTCTCAGTGGTCTCCTAGCCTCCATCACTGATAKAAATCCCCTTAGTATGATGATACCACAGCCATGTTTGAGTAAAGGGATGGTATGAGAAGACTGAAGCTTTGAGCCTGAAATTTAGAAATTTCAGCCAAGGTTTAGGTTTTGGTCTCATCAGATCTGAAGATTTTAACATTTTATTGTAAGAGTAGCTTTTGATAAATACCCAATAGTTGTATGAACTGAGTAATAAGTGATCCAGATGCTACCTAATTTTGAGATTTTTAAAAGCTGCAGAAACATCTTTTATTTTTTTCAACCATTTTTCTGTCTCGACACTACATCTCACAGGTTTATGAATGGTTCTCTCAACCCCATGACTTTGTTTACACTCTGACACCACCCACTACAAGACATTTGGCAAAATAGATGAATGGATGTCTTTCCTGAGTGTGTCTAATGACTTCAATTAGGTACTTATGAGACAATCCAGTCAAGCTGCTAAAGCAATGGATACAAGACTTCTTCGTGTAAGCTTTTTGTTTTTGCTGTCATTATGAAGCATTGCTTAGGACTGCAGAATAAATTTAATATTTGTTAAGATGACTCTGAACAATAATGGGAGACCTTAAGTGGTATGAAAACTWTTGGCAGCCTTCCTGCCAATATCTGACAGGGTCATGTGAGATCTGATATGTGGCACTTTTAGATGTGCATGTCAGTGTGTTACACACAAAACTCAGTGAAGGCTGATAAAATGTACTGTTTGAGCTGTAGCAGACAGTCTAGAGTCTTTTTTCATTTGCAATTAAGAATATATGAGCATGAAAAAAGAGAAACAGTGAGACCACTCAGTGGCTATTTCTGGCTCAGATTTGACCTACAAACCCTGTAGGCAGAGCTGGGCAGAGCAGAGACTTCAACCAAGGCTGCTCAGGTAACACACACTCAAACAGACACATATGCATGCRTGTGCACACAGACCTTGCCATCTGTTTATAAGCCTCCTCTGCCACCGCAAAGATATGTGGGTCCATGTCTCCCATGTTCTGGCCACTGTAGGCATTGATGATCTCTGTCCCGTAGATCGGCAGTGTCTCATATGGGTTGATCGCCACAAGAACAATTCCTATGRGMCAAAAACAGGAATAAACRTTTTTTTACATCAAAATTTGAACATTAAAGACCAAACAAAGCTTTACTTGTACAAAAACAGCCTGAAAAGTCCATTTTAATCATCAAATTTTTGCCTCCAGTACCATCTGTATCTCATTAATCCTCATAAATTATTGTTTAAATGTAGTGGACTTGTAAAGGAAGACATTAGAAACCCTCCTACCGCAGTAGGTGTAGATAAGTTTTGAATCGATAAAGCGGACTTTGAGGTTGTGGAGCACGGCTGGTTCATGGAGGTAGCTAAGGGCTGTGAGGTCATTCTCGCCCACCAGGATGTCAGGGTTTCGCAGGTGAGGCAGGTTCTTCGTCTTGGGGTCCAGCTTGTGGTCGATGTTCTGGGAAAGGAGCAGGAAGCAATAACATTCATGTACAACTACATGTTGTATCAGCATAAAGCTGTGTGACTACAGTCATTCACTAATGCCCAGAACTGAAGTGCACATAAAACCAGCAGGATTAGATCAAACTGACAAACACTACTTCAGTTCCCCTGACTACAGATGTATTACCACAGAATTAAATCATGGTCTCTGTTATTTTCATGGACAAGTTCAGTAAACATGCAGCAGTTTCTCCTGAAACYGCAAACTCTGGTGTTTCACCAATTTAAATACATTTTCATAATAAAGTGTTCTTCAGGTACGGGCGGCTGTGGCTCAGTGGTTAGATCAATCATCCTCCAATGAAAGCGTCGATTCCACCAGTATAGTCATGTGTCCAAGAGTCCCTGGGCAAGACTGAACCCCTTATCCCCTCCGATGAGCCCCAACAGTGTATGAATGTGATCTAAACCACTAATTGGTCTCTAAAAATTGACTAATTCAGATCAGTTTAGTAAAAATGTTAAGAGTGCTGTTTGACTGTGTGTGGATGGGTAAATGAGGGCTCAGACTGCYTTGCAAAGCAAGACATAGCCTTGGTTTATCTTTTATCATGATGAGGCTCCACACCCTATGATATTAGTCAGAAATGTTTGGAAATTTATTTTAAAATGAAATTGTAAGAACATTCATGTACTTTTAAAGAACWTGGCCCTTAAACTAAACTGATTAATGAAAAAAGTCTTTAGCTAATTTACTTGTCTTTTAACAAGTTTCCCCAAATGTATGGAGATCCTGAACCATCAACCAGGCAAACAGAACCAAACCAAAACCCCTCTGACACTTTGGTGATGCAAATAATCAGCTATGATCACATGCAAGTAGGAGGTAAAAGGGTTCAGCTACTAGCTTCATATAAAAGGACTGCTTCTTTGTCATTGCTACAGGGAAAACCCAGACTTCATAGCTGCTTTAAAACAAATTAAATGTACTGTGATACATTTAAAAGGCTCCTTCGAGGCAGCTTTGCTTCAAAGTCCCATTTGAGTGCTAATGGTAAAACCAATAGCCCATAATGAAAGGCAGCAGAACCAGAGCGGGAAACAGAAAGCAACAAAAATAGAAAGAGACAGATTTTTATCACTCTCCACTCTTATTATTCTCACCGTTCCATCCTCCGACATGAGCTGCAGGGAGGKGTCTCCATTTTTGTAGTCCTTTGTCAGCTCGGCAGATTTCCACACCTCCTCAGCATCAGGGATCCACACCCGAGCAGACTGAGATAAAAACAGAGGGGAAACAAAACAAATCACACAAAAATAGCTTTAAAAAACACAAAGATGATTTAAATCATGATTGTGACTGTCTTGTTTATGCTCTCATACTGTACTAGGAGTGCATTGGTTGCAGTTTTTTGTCCGATCAACTATCACCTGTCTTTAAAAAGCCTGACCTGTCCATTACATTGTTGGCTGATAGATTTTTTAATAAACTGTGGTGGTGTTATAAGGTCATAATACACCTTCAATGTTCCAATCTTACTGTACTGAAACACAATGAACACCACTGAAACAATATAAACTTGTTTCAACTGGACACAAGGTAGTGATCACAGCACAGCAAAAAGGGACCATGGCTGATTTTCAGGCCTTAATGGACATACAGCTATAGGTCCATATCTGTTTGGATACTGACACAAAATTTGTTTGTTTAGTGAAACATACTCAAGTTATAGTTATATAATGGACATGGGCATAAGGTCCAGACTTTTAGCTTTCATTTGAGGGTTTCCACTTTCCACATTATAATTGGAGGAAAAGTTTAAGAGCTCAGATCCTTAACATGTGTTCACCCTGCTTTAAAAGAGACCAAAGGTATTTGAACAAATGACTCAAAGGCTATTTCATGCAAGTGTGGGCAATTCTTTCATTAAGTTCTTCTCAACGAAGCAAATAAAAGGTGAGGTGTGTTGCTTGCATTTGGAAGGTTTTGCTGTGAATAAAACATGCAGTCAAAGGAGCTCTCCATGCAGGTGAAACAAGCCATCCTTAAGCTGTGAAAATTGCAAAAACAGTACCAGAGAAATTGCTACAATATTAGGAGTGGCAAAATCTACAGTTTGGTACATCCTCAAAACGAAAAAAAAAAAAAAATGGTGAACTCATCAATGCAAAAAGATCTGGACACCCACGGAAGACAACAGTGGTGGATGATGGCAGAATAATCTCCATGGTGAAGAGAAACCCCTTTACAACAGCCAACTAAGTGAACAACGCTCTCCAGGAGGTACAAGTATTAATATCCAAATCTACCATAAAGAGAAGACTGAAAGAAAGTAAATACTGCGGTTCACTGCACAGTGCAAGACACTCATAAGCATCAAGAATAAAAAGGCTAGACTGGACTTTGCTAAAAAAACATCTAATAAAGCCAGCACAGTTCTGGAAGAACATTCTTTGGACAGATGAAACCAAGATCAACCTCTACTAGAATGGTGGAGGAAAAAAAAAGTCTGGTGAAGGCGTGGTACAGCTCATGATCCAAAGCACCACATCATCTGTAAAACACAGCACAGCAGTGTGATGGCTTGGGCATGCATGGCCGCCAGTAGGGCTGCCACGATTAATCGATTAATCGACGACTAATCGATTATTAAAATAATCGATGACTAATTTAATAATCGATTAATCGTTTTCTTTTT